TGCATATGCAATTTTGTACGCGGAAAAAAAAAAGTTGTTGAAAATTTCAAAATGGCATACGACGCGTCATTTTTGAAATGGGAAATGTAAATCGAATTTGCGGCACAACTTAATAATAATACAGACGATGGGAATTACGGCAATTAGATAGATGAGGTTAAATACTGTGTTAATGCACTAACCTTTTTAATTGCGGCGGCGGATGAATGGATAATGTTGAATTTTCTTGGGAGACGCAGGTCGACGATGGTTCGCGCCACGCACAAAAATGACTGCGTGCATTTCGCATGGTGATCCGATCGGGAGATGCGTCTCGGCCAATCAGCGCCACGCATTTATAAACGCAGGTGTTCAACAAACTGCAACAAAAAAAAAGAGAATTCTAGAAAAACAAAACACAAACGAAGCGAGATAAAACTTGCAGCTGTGAATAAATTATAAACGTATTCTGATAAGAAATAAAAAGTACATTAGATTTATAAATAAAAAAAAACAGAATTATAGAAAAACATAACCCAATGCACAAACAAAAAAAGAGATAAAATTTGCAGCTGCGAATAAATTATAAACATATTCCGATAAGAAATAGAAATTACATTAGATTTATAAATCATAATGCATTTTATTATTAAAATTTTTAAATAATTTTGTGTAATTTCATAGGAAGTCATGAGAAAACAATATAATACGAAATATTATTATTATATAGCCACCTTTCTGCCTTCAGTCTCGAACACGCCACTTTCGTATTGGTTTTTTCTTGAGTTAATGAATTAATTTGAATGATGGAAAATAAGTAATTAAATGTTAATTATAAAAATTCAATTCGGTTTCGATTTTTTAATTGTTAAGTTTAACGAAAGCGCATGCGAAGAAGAAGAAGAATTGACAATAACAAATAAAAAAGAAGCGTCGTTTCGCCATTTTGAATTGCGTCGCATTTTACAACCGAATTTACGGCTTAATTAATAATAAATTTCGTATGATACAACGCAAAACTTCACGACATAGAAATAATGATCTACTCACGGCTCAATTGCAATCGTATTGGATTGATGGAATTCGCGTCGATTCACTTGATTTCTCTTGATTCACACAACTTTTTTCGAACTTTCAAAAACTCGAACTCACGTGATAATAATTGAACTGCGACTGAGCGAGTCCACCTTGCGGCTTACCCACGCCAGCGCATTAGAACGTACCAACTGATTCAAATTAAAAAAATAATATTGAAGCGACATCTGCCGGTGTAATTTTAAATCATTGAACTAATTTAAAATTCTTCAATAGATTGACGATTGTCGATACGCCAGGATTCGGTGATGCCGTCAATTGCGAGGACAGTTGGAAGGTGTGCACGAATTACATCGATGAGCAGTTCCGGCAGTATTTCACCGACGAGAGCGGTTTGAACCGGAGGAACATTCAGGACAACAGGGTGCACTGTTGCCTCTACTTTGTACCACCGTGGGGTCACAGGTGTGTTAAATCTTTGTATATTTTGAATTGTTGTTATTATGAATTGTTGTTGTTGTTACAGTTTGCGGCAGATGGATCTGGAGTTGATGAAACGTTTACATCGCAAGGTGAACATCGTGGTGGTCATCGCCAAGGCTGATACTTTAACAGCATCCGAAGTTCAAAGATTGAAGCGAAACATACTGGACGACATCAGAGAAAACGATATACAGGTTCAATAGATGATGATGATTGTATTCATGGTAATGAAATTGTATTTGTGATGTTTGCAGATGTACGAGTTCCCCGAGTGCGGAAGCGACGAAGACGAGGATTTCAAGGAGCAAGATAGGGAGATGAAGGCGAGCATCCCGTTCGCCGTCGTCGGAAGCAACACGACGCTGGAGGTGGCCGGGAAGAAGGTCAGAGGACGGCAGTATCCGTGGGGAGTGGTGGACGTGGAAAACCCGAAGCACAGCGATTTCATCAAGCTGCGGACGATGCTCATCTCGACGCACATGCAAGATCTGAAGGACGTCACCGAGGACGTGCACTACGAGAACTTCAGGGCGCAGTGCATCTCGCAGATATCGCAGCACGCGTTCCGCGAACGAGGGTAACTACTACTAGCATCCACCGCTAGATGATCTAAAACGTTAATTACGTTCTTACTTGTTGCCTAGGAAACTGAAGCGCGATTCGACGCCGTACGAGGCGGACATCTCGGAGACGGACAGGCTGCTCTTCGAGAAAGACGAAGAGGTACGTGTTGTCATAACAAGTAACCATAGCAACCAATATCATTGTTGTTATTGTTGTTGCAGATACGCAGGATGCAGGATATGCTCAGGCAGATGCAGGAGAAGCTGAAGGATTCGGCGCAGGACAACAAGAAACACGACAGTATTATCGATGTGTAGTTAGTTTTTCTTTCTTTTTTTTCGCTGTAAATAACAATAAGGCGATGCGAAATCAGGAGTGCGAATCATATAATCAAAAACAAATGAAGAAGGAAACTAGGACGCAACCAATTATACACATCCTCTTTCTCCCCCTATATTTTTGGTTCTTCTTCCATTATATTTACAATTATTTATATATATGTATAGCATTGTAGACAATTGATTGAGGACGAAGAATATGAAGCAGAAGAAGCAGTTCCCAAAATAGAATTCAAAAAGACGAGAAGAAAGAACAAACCATTTATTATAATAATTATTATTATTAAAGTAATTCTATTAATTTATATGTTATTGAATTTAATAAAGAAAATATTGAACCGAAAATTGATCTGTTAAAAAAAAACTTGATTTTAACGTCCTTTAGTGTGCGCAAATCAACATCATCATCATCTTACTTAATCTGCCCACAATGCATGTAACATTATTTCTCTTTCAGCAGACGAAGCAAAATGTTAACGATAATATTGAAGTGTTTGTAAAAGGGGAAGAAAAACGATAATAAGGGTGAAAGAAGGTAAAGAAAGGATGACAGCAGCAGCAGCAGCAGCTGCTCAGATTTCGTCGTAGGCCTCCGCCGTGGAAACCATCGTCGGATTGCATCCGTTGAGGAGAAACACGAATCCGTCCTTGACGAGACCGGGAAGACCGACCCAGAACTCGACGTGCGGCACGATCTCGCGACCGCGCGCCCCCCGCAGGAAGTACGAGATGCAACCGCCGCCCACCAGGTACACCAACGAGAACACGAACAACATTATCACCAGTTTGCTGCCGACGCTCAAGCTCTGCTCCACTTTGAATTTGCAAGCGCTCTTCGTGAACAGATGCAAATGCTGAAACAGACAGATTCGATTAATTGTTTTCATTCTCTCTCATTCATAATCCTCCTCATTCAACCCATTTGATTATTGCATTTAAATCCTATTTATAGCCATTGGTTAATATTAATGAAACTCACTAAGTATGACGAGTCTCTAATCAAGGTCGTCTAAGCAACAATGTGAATTGTTTATTAATATTTTGTTGCTATCTCAAAAAAACATTCCACTGACCCTTTCATCTCTAACCTAAATTGATTGCAATGATGAATTTGCAAGATTCAGCAATAGACTAATAGTAATTTGGTTAAATTGCTTCAATTGAAAATGTTGAAATGCACTCACATGCTGTTGATCATCGATACTGTGGATCACCAGTTCGTTCTCCTTCGATTCAGGTGTGCAAATCATTGTGATCACAGTTGTACTGCAAATGAGATCATTATACCGTCTGCATCGACAAACTGCAGACAACAACAACAACTTACACTTTGATCTTTTTTTCATTGTTGAACTCGTAGGTGATCTGCGTCAGGCCGTTCGGATCGTCGCTGAACACGGAGTCTTTCGAATGACCGACGATGAAAGTCTGGTTGTCGCTGGTCCGCAGGCAAGCCTACAAGAAACAAAAAGAGAATCAAATTGATTTGGATCACGGTGAGCTGCTGAACGTACGGCAATTGTTTGTCCGAAACAGGCATCCGTTCCGGTCTTATTTGGTTGGGCGATCTCGAATTTAGTATCGACGCATCCGTGATAATAGTACACCAGATCGTGTTTCTCTGCCGAGAGGAACTTGTCGTCGGGCAGCAGCATCGTCGTCAGGTCCATGATGATGCCGTCCTCCGTTTCGCACCTGCAGCTGGAGACGCGCTTGCAGACGGCGTCATCGTCGAGTAGGCTGAAAACGGAATTAGCGAGCAGCGACAAGTACACCAGCACCACCGCGTTCGCCATCACTCATCACTTCCTTCTTCGCAAATGGTTGTGAAAATAATCCAACGTAAAAAAAATAATTATAAACGAAAACAAAATCGTAGGTTAAGTTAACAACGACCTTGACTTTGACAGCTGACTGGAGGAGACGTCGTTATTAACAATGATGGTCGGCAACACGACTTGCGCGGAAACGAGGAAACATGCATAAACAATGAACGGAATTGTGGGAAAAATGAAAAATAAATAATGACGATGAAATCTTTTCGATTAATCTGTTTCCATGTAGTCTGGTCTCTTTCGCAGCACGCATATGCCGTCGAGGGTCGGACCGAAGGCCTCGTACTGCTCGGTGGCCAATTCCGCACGTTCACCGCACGCCAAGAGGACGGGCGTGGTGTGCGTGTGAATGCCGACGATCGTCTTCGGGGTGCCGGCTTTTCCTACGACGTCGACCGCTTGACCGACCCGGACGGGCACGGAGACGTGCTCCAGGTTCTCGTCGAGGGTGATCAACCATCTGGGAGTCATGCCAGCGGCGAGCGAGTACAGCAGGTAATGGTGCTGACCCAAGATGAAGGCGTGCGGATCCAGCAACGATATCATAGGAATCAGAAGCGCTGCAAAATATTCACCGATTGATATGTTTCACAATTTAAAAATTAAACGACGACTGTACCAGCAATTGAGCAGTAATCCAATAAGAGTCGATCGGTATGCAGGGGACTCAGACTGAGAGTGCCTTTGCCAAGATGGGTGAGACCTTGAGATATCCGCACCATGAAGAGTTCGGCCGCATTCCTCGCATGGTACACGGCCAACTGTCGCAGTGTAGCCGCCAGTCTGGCGTTGTTGGTGCCAGCTCCGACGATGCCCAAGGCGAAGATCGCATTGCAGGCTACCTTCTCGTCCGAATCGTGCGAGTATTTAGTCAACACCTCGATCACTGGTAGATGCGGCTTCGACACCGAGTTCATGGCTATGGCCAGCGGAACGGCGCGACGCACCGCCGGATCACCGTAACGCCCGACGCTTCCCAAGATCTTCGAGCACATCTCCGTGCCCATATCCTCACCCAACGAAACACATCCCAATCCTTAAATATAAGCATGGAAATATTACGAATTACGAAAAACTGAGCGCGACTCACCCAAAACAGGAATGGCTTGAGCTAAACCCGAATCGATTTCGTTCTTTTTCCTCTCGCTTTTGATCGACGACGCATCCAATTTAGACTCTTCGTCTTTAAGCAGATTGACGCGATCGCCGATGTTGCTGAGCATTTCTTGGATTATGAACACGTCGCCGGTACCTGAAATTGAAATTAATTTAATACAAAATTTGCTGTATCTATGTATATGTCATTCATTCAGCACACCTGTGTACGCGCACAGATGCAAAAGGCTCTTGAAGATGGCGTTGTGCGGCTCCTCGAAGACTTCGACCGCTTCGCAGGTGGCGTCGATCGCATCCTTCCTTCCCAAATACAAGAAACCGAGACCGAGAACGGCCAAGACCATGTGCGTCGATTTCATCTGCTCGTTCTCCCTCCAATCCACCAGCTTCGTGAGGATGGCGTTCGAGGCTTCCGCATTGCAAGTGTTTGCGCAAACCAATCCGATGGCGAGGCAAGCGGTCGCAAAGTTTTCAGCGGTGGTCGCGTTCTCTACGGCGACGATGAGCAGTGATGTCACGTCCTGTCTGTCCGTCCCGACGTACGCCAAACCGAGACCGAGCACTGCCGAATTTCTGATGGCGCTCGACTTGTCCGAGATGAAATCGGCGAGCAAAGCGAGTGCCGGATCGCACTCGTTCCTCACCCTGCAATTGACGATGCCCAAAGCCAACAGCGCCCCGGATTTGATCTAAAAGAAATAATAATTTAAACACTTATTGCTTTGAATTCAAAGCAATTACCAATTCATCGTTGGAATAGAGGTACTTGTCGATCGGAGTTAAACCTCCGTCGACGTCCCACAGATGCACTAAACCCAAGGAGGCGGTGGCGCTCAACATTCCGTTCTCCTTGTTCCTGTAGATCCAGCGATTGCCGGAATCACCGGACACCAGTTTGTCGTTGCCGAAGCCGGCGTTCACGAAACCGTTGACGAAGGAGGAAGCCAAATTCTGCCGCGCGCTGTCTATGTTTTCGGCGAGAATCGATGGTCTCATCGGGGTAGGTTCCAGCCACACCTTGTACACGTCCTCGGGCGATTTCGGATCCATGATATCCAACTGGAAATGAGAAAACAAATTATAATGTAATCTTAATTATAATAATGCGAACATACCTCACGCGCCAACGTCAGGAATTGGGAACTAAGGTTGCCGTTGTTCATGATGTTCATCAGCTCGTCGCGATCCTCCAGATCGTCGGGCAACGTCACGTTCAGCAGATGTCTTCCGCATATAAACGCTAACTGTCTGAGCAGTGCACCATCCTTGCTCGTTCTGAAGATGTCCTCGATGACGTTCCTCTTGTTCAGATGGATGGCGATGATCGCGGCCCGAATGTACTCCTCGTACTTGAAATACTGCTCACCGATCAGTTTGTAGATCTTCTCGCACTCAATTTCGTCCACGTACTTGGCGCACGAGGTCAGGTACATGCAGACGCGCTGGTAGATGCCGGCGTTCAGATACTTCTCCAGCTTCTCCAGGTGATCGATCTCCATGAGGAAGTCGCACGCCTGTATCTCGCCGTGATGCTCGCAATCGAACCGGACGCAATCCTCGATCAGATTCTCTAGCTTCTCCTCGGATTTCTGGCAACGGAGCAGCTGCTCCACGATCTGCGTCTCGATGTGATGAACGTACTCGTGGCCCCAATCGCCGATGTTCTGCATCGTGCCCAGCATGCAGTACCTGAAGAAAGTAAGAGGAGTTTTTATTCGAATAAAGTCGAAGAGAATACAACATACTTGAGACTTTCCAATGGGGTTTCCGTTCCGCCCATCGGGCACATCGCCAGCACGGAGATGATGTCCGCGCACTGCTTCTTCACGGCCACATTCACCATCTTCCCGTGGGCCTCCTTCAGAGTCTCGTAGTAGGGCGCCAGGTACTTGAGCGGTTTCGGAACGGAAGTCATGGACGTCGTAGAGGTTCGAATCAGAAACTTGAGCATCTCCAGCGCAGGATGCACCAGGTGCGGATCAGCTCCCTAACAAACAAATAACATAAACAATATATCAATCGAATTATAAACTGAAACAACTCACAACAATCTTGTCTATTAAAGTTTTCAGCTCATCCTGCAACTCCTTATCCTCCTCGGACTGCAATTCAAAATCGACATTACACATACACGCACATATCATCGTATTTTCGAACTCACCAACTCTTCCGTTTTCTCTACCTTCCTGGGAAGGACGTCCACGGTGGCCATCGTTCAAAGTCTTTTGCAATTCGCAAAGAAGAATTCAAAATGAGTTGCGACTTTTCCGTGACGACGCTCGCAGAATGACCAACCTGACGAAAATAAACACTTATTATAAACACATTATTACAATTGATGAGCAATTTGTTTATGAAATATAATATATTTGCATTGAGAGAGAGAGAGGGCGCGCGTGTGGTGGAATTAATTGTGCCGTTGCTCTTCGATCCTAATCCTAACGGTCAAGCGAAAGTGTTTTGATGGTCGTATTAAAAGAGGTGGTAATCGTCAACATCAACGTTAATAATTGATGATTTTTGATGATGATTTGTTTAAATGTTGCTGTTGGCTGCTGCTGCCAACCGTCGCCCGATCTGACGTTTAGAAATCCCCGCCACTGCTGCTGCTGGTGACTTTCAGCTGTCTCCGGGTGGCAGCACCTGGTCTCGATGAATCAGTTTGTCAAGTTTGCAGTCGGAGCGCGGTCGGTGTGCCAGTTTTGCGAGTCCGTTACCGTTCCTTCGAACATCATCATCATCATCTTATAGGTGGTCTCTCTCTCCGTGTTTAAAAACATTACACACATACACACACATCTTGTACGTCTTCTCTCATTCACTCGCACCCGTTCGCATCCATCCATCTCGGTGTGCCAGTGCGAGAGAGAGAGAGAAAGAGAGCCGCGACTCTCATTGCGCGCCGTTCGTTCGTTCGTGTGTGTGTGTGTGTGTGCGTATGTGCTTGTGTGAGTGAGTGCATATTTTTTCTTCGACACCCCAGATTTTGCGTCTCCGTTGCGCCATAACCATTCTCTATCCACTTCTGTTCCTCTCCGCGCGGCGGGTCGATACGCAGATCTTCGACCCTTTTAGGGGGTGTCGACGTCGTCATCACCCTTTCGAGTGTGCTGTGTATGTGTGTGTGTGTTACTCTGCACAGAGATAGAGAGTAGCAGTAGAAGATCTTGAACAGTCAGCTGCGACAGCGGCAGAATTGTGAGTAGCAGTAGTAGTAGTAGCAGCAGCAGTCTCACAACACACTGCAATTGCAGCAGCAAAACCGATCCAAAAGACAAGACCTTCCCTACGGCAAGAATCGATCCTCGGGGAACGACGGAGAGAAAAAAAAAGAGCACTCTCGATGATCTTTCATTAATGCTCATAGCTGGCTGCAGTATGCAGACGATTGAGAAGAGAAGAGAGAGAGAGAGAGCATATCTGTCTAGTGTGCGAGAGCGTAAAGGGGGGAAGATGGGAAAATCGCGAAACAACACTTTGACAAGTCTCCTCGAAAAGCAAAATGGCTGAGTGAGGTCGTTCGTGTGTGTACGTACGTATGTATGTATGTGTGGTATGCTCACGATGAGGTCCCGTTCCGACGATCGATTCTCATTCTGCCCTCCTTCGCAGCGAATTTCCATCGAGCTTCTCGGCCTCTCCGTTCAACCCCTTCGGAAAATGGGGGGGAAATGGAGAGTGGAGGGAGAATCAATGGCCGATTGATTTTCACGTGGGTCTGCCACATCTCTCTCTCTTTCTCTCTCATTATTTCCTCCGTCAATCCATCCATCCATGCTAAAGGGGGGATCGATTCTTGCCGCCACCTGTCTCTCTCTCTCGCTCTCACACATACACACACATAGATTTTCTTTGTTCTCTCCGCATAGGGGAAAGAAAACAAACATCCGCCCCGATCCTTCGCGAACTTTGACATTCCTCGCAATCCTCCATCTCTCTCTCTCCATTAATCATCCATCATCGACGTTGCCTTATCAAAATAAATATTACAATTATTATTATTACTTTTTTTAAAAAATTACATTTACCCATGATATTTGAATTACGACGTCGATAGCCGAGCAAAGTTCGCTTCAATTCCCGATCCTCCAAAAATAATCGCTCGTTCGCAATTTGCATTGTTGTTGTTGTACATGTATGCTCATCATCATCATATGATATATTTTTTTTGTCAGCTGTCAAATTGCTAATTAGGATTCTCGTCCCGTTTCGCAGGTGATGCAATAGGCGTTTCACCCTCGTTCAACTGGGCCCCGGAACTTGGATCATGAAAATGGTGTTATCCCAACGGCAGCGAGAAGAGCTGTAAGTAATAGTGCACAACAAATATCACGATCATTCGCAAAAACAAGTCGACTTCTCCTCTTATTGCAATAGTCAATAAGAAATGGAAGTTCGATTGCAGTTGCTAAGCAATAATAATATATTTGTTGTCACAGCAACAAAAAACAAAGAGTAGCAGTAATAACAACAATAACATCTACGGAGGCGATTATTGACGACGGGTTAACGGCCATAACTTGTTTCTGTCGATCAGTAAAAATAGCACATGAAAGTTATGAACAATCAAAAGTTTCGTTCCCATCAAAGTAATAAGATTAGAGTTTTTGAATAATCATAAATTAATAGTTGCTAAAGTTAGATAATCAGTGAGAACCGCACGAGTATTATTTGTTTTCTCTTCGGCGGCAAGAGTTATGATGATTCATTTTTACTTCTTAGGCAACAGTATAGGTTTATCCTATACTTTCTGGTGGTGCCGTTGCTGTTGTTGTTGTTGCTCAATTTGAACGCGAGCATATCTTGTTGCTACGATCACTTTCATTATTCTTTCCGAAATAGAAACGTGTCTTCTAGGAGGATGAGGCTGCTTTGTTCTTGGATTTTAGACAATTGCTCGATAATTTGCTTCAAAATGAATAGTATCTCCAGATGTTTTCCATTTCCAACTATCAAGATGTTTCGTCAATGTCAAGTTTTCAATGATCTCTGTTCGCCAGACATTCCAATTGGATTCAAAGTTCGATTATGGAATCTCGTTGCTTCATTCGTAATTCCATACCCAAAAGCAAGCAGCAAACGTTTCTTTTCATTCGTGGAATGTTTTGTTCGATCACTTTCGTTCAACCGTTTTGCATACTTCCTAAATCCATTAGTAATTTTGATTTTCACTATTTATCGCAGTTGCTTGTGTAAAATAAAAGCGTTATAAAACAAAATGGTTTGCAATTAAAAAGCAATCTTGATAGTTATCGTTCCCATAGTTATCCTCCTCGTCATTGTCTTCATCCAGATGGATTGCTGAAAGTTTATTGACATTTTCCTTTCTGCAAACGCGCAATTTTCCCTCGGCCATGAAAGAGGAGCTGCTGGCTGGGTTTATTATTATTCGGTATTTCGAAGGAGATGCGCGAAATCCACCTTCCTCCACTTTCTCTCTCCTGTGAAGAAGTAGTGGTAGCAGCAGCAGCAGTCAGTGTACACTATGTCAGTGTTTTTGGCCTCTAACGAGTTCATCATTCTTCTTCCTCCTTCTCTCTATCTCTCTCTCTCTCTTCACCTTCAACTCAAAATCTATACACTCTACCGCTCTCTTTCCTCTACATACAATACAATATACATACTAATAATAATTTCATTTTTTTCGGGGTCGCAATTAGAAAGTCGCACCCCTCTCTTTCTCTCCTCTCCTCTCCCTAAACGAGCACCGCTCAAATATAGCAAACGAAAATGTACAATTAAATTGACTATTAATCGATGAACTCGTCGTAATCTACCGATTATCAATTATTGTTATTCGCGAGTTGTCATTATTCGATGAACCGAACGAAAATATTAAGTGGAGCAACGAGACGACCTCTAATTATAGTGTGACGTTTCCGATAAAGTAGTCAATGCCATTCATTGGTCGATACGTCTTTTGTTTTGCTCTTTTTCTCTCTCTCTCTCTCTGTCTTTGCGCTTGAATTCGCCGCTCCATTTTTTCTCTCTCTCTCTTTGCACGTCGTGCATATTAGAAACACCATCATCATCGATTTGCATTTGCTCCACGTTTGATAATTTTAGAGGTTCTACAATGTTGGGCATCAGTGCGAAATGTGGGTGGTGTTTCGTGCCACGAATACGCGCACAGCCTTGGCATTGACGATGACGACGACGCTGCTGCTGACGTCAACGGGCGACGCCGACGTCGGTCGATACAGCGGCACGCGAACATCGCGCGCGCGCATCCTAGACAACAGCCGAAATTAAAAAACTGCGTGTTATGTAATTATGGTTTGGCGGGGACCCGGACATTCGATAATTGGAAAAAAACAAGTTGTAAACTGATAATAATTAGGACAGAGAACCTTCGGTTGCGAATGCGAACTTCGACTCTTTCGATCTGCTCAAGATGACATCTCAATGGCACTTTTGACGTGACTCACATTACATAAACTCATTACATAAACAAAAGCGAGAAAATTGCGTGGGTTTAACGACATTGCCATGACGACCGATCGGCTGGTACACCACCATCGGCGTAGCTACCACCGTTGCTGTGTCATTGAAATTATTAATGGGATCGATTGCGGATCTACATTATTCATAGTCTCCGCGGCGACAACGGGGCTTCCAATAATATATATATAGAAAGAGAGCGGCGGGTCGCATTGCTCCAAGAACAACAAAGTCATCGCCGGGAGCGGACGAACCCCACCAAGGGTTGGGTCCAATTAATTAGCAGATACGCCCCTCTAGGCGCTCCTGCGTCACGCGTGGGCGTTCGGTAATAATCCATTCTCCGATTTTTATTCACCTCTCACGATTCGCGGCAACACCTGTCGTCCTCCTCCTCCGTCCAATATTAGGGCTCGGCTCTGCAACAACAAAATAGCTTAAGCAAAGACTATTCATTCGTCCGTCCATCTGTTCGTTCGATAGCGAAAGTGAAAGGGTGTTGTTGTTGTTTGCTTAATTTGCCATCGGCCGTTATTCGTTGCTCGTGTTTCTTCATAGGTCGTCGCTTCACCCACCGTGCGCACCCAGATCGTGTTCTTCCTCCGATCGACATTTAAATTTCTTTCACTTTCGCCGCCTCTTCTAATCTCCTCCGATATTCCAAGGTCTCTCTCTTACTCGATATATAACATTCTTCATGCACCAGTTTTAATTAGCACCCGAAATGAGACGCGCCATGGGAGGTGGGTGGAGACAGGAAACCCCAACGACTTGGACTTCCGCCATTATATATTCCGGAAGCGCATATAGAATTATTCTCAGGAATTCAAAGTCCAAAAAGCTGCTTAGGTGCACAAAACTAATTATTCGATGATCCTTGATTTGCAAATGAATCTGAAATTGAACCCAAGATCAATTGATGTTACGAAATTGATTAAATTGTTAATTAACCAAATTATTATTAGATTATACTGCACATTTTTGTAGACGTACAGATTGTAAGCCAGCAAGCAAACATAATATTGCAGCTCAAATAATTGAATCAAATTTTGAAGTATTTAAAAATAGCAGTTGACTAATAAAACAAACGCACAATCTACTCTTCTCTAGTGTCTCATAATGAACATCTTTCGAATACGCGCTCTGGCTAAACAAACAAATACTCTGAAATATTATAAATAGCGATTGGCTCATGAACTTCGTAACTTGCTTTGCAACAAACAAAAAAAACAAACAAACTCAAAAACACACACCTGTAGCACACACACACGGTTATTTGTGGCGCATTCATCATCGATTCAGGAACTCGATTTCATTTCGAGTGTTTTCAACTTGTTCGTTTCTTCTAAAACTCTTCTCAATGACATTTCCATATGCAAAGTACACGCGTGTTTGTCACATATATTTGCACTTTTTCCTTCCACAATGACATCACGACGATGATTCATGCCCGTACAGCTCGAATTAGATGTATGTCAGGACGAAATAAACTATTGCATAATTTGATTATTTCGCACGCACGTCGCATACTGATTAATGATCGTAGATCGATTTGATTCGAGTGGTCGAGAAGAGCGGCAATGGAATAATTGATTATTAATTGATTGCGTGTCTGTCTTTGCGGTTTGCAGTAACAAAGCCATCGCTGATTACCTGAGCAGCAATGGTTACATGGATGCTCTGGAAGCGTTCAAGAAGGAGGCTGATATGCCGGGAGAGGTGGAGAGGAAGTTCGGAGGACTTTTAGAGAAGAAATGGACTTCGGTGATACGGCTGCAGAAGAAGGTGATGGAGTTGGAGTCGAAGCTTAACGAGGCGGAGAAAGAGTACATAGATGGGGCGCCAACGAGGCCCAACCGCAATCCGCTGGAGTGGATCCCAAGACCGCCGGAGAGGCACAGTCTTTCAGGTAACGTTATAAGTCGAGTGGGACTGGATGGATGGATGTAGTAACATTGTAACAACATTGATTTGCAGGTCATAGGGCTCCTGTAACGCGGGTCATTTTCCATCCGGTCTTCAATCTTATGGTTTCGTCGAGCGAGGATGCGACCATCAAGGTGTGGGATTTCGAGGCCGGCGAATACGAACGCACGATGAAGGGCCACACCGACTCCATACAGGACATCGCGTTCGACGCTCAGGGCAAGCTGCTCGCCTCCTGCAGCGCCGACATGTCCATCAAGCTGTGGGATTTCCAGACGTACGAGTGTATACGTACTATGCTCGGCCACGACCACAACGTGTCCAGCGTGGCGTTCCTGCCGGCCGGAGACTTTGTCGTCTCATCCAGCCGCGATAAGACCATCAAGATGTGGGAGGTGGCGAATGGGTATTGCGTGAAGACGTTCACCGGTCACAGAGATTGGGTGCGCATGGTGAGATCCTCGGCGGACGGCAGTCTTTTGGCCACCTGCTCCAACGATCAGACGGTGCGCGTCTGGGCTGTCTCTTCGAAGGAGTGCAGACAGGAGCTGCGAGGTCACGACCACGTCGTCGAGTGCGTCGCCTGGGCCCCGGAGTCGGCCTCGCATCCCATCAACGAGGGAGCAGGTGCCGACAACAGGAAGGGCGCTCACATGGGTCCCTTCCTGGCCTCCGGTTCCAGAGATAAGAACATTAGGTGCGTCTGCAAACTAAAACCTACAACAAATGTATGCTGACTTTTCATATTATTTTTTCTTTTTTTACAGAATATGGGACGTCGGAGCAGGCGTCTGCCTGATCACCCTGATCGGTCACGACAATTGGGTGAGGGGCTGCGTTTTCCATCCAGGAGGTAAATTCCTGGTCTCCGCCAGCGACGACAAAACGCTCAGAGTTTGGGATCTGCGCAACAAACGTTGCCAGAAAACTTTGGAAGCACACAAACACTTCTGCACCTCAGTTGGTAAGCATAATAATTTTCAATTCTCATTATACTTTGTGCCAAAGAGATTGCCTCGAGTGGTGGTATGACCTGCAGCCCAAAAAATGTATTAATTAGCGAAATGAAAATTGATTTGTGTGTGCGTGTGTGTGTGTTTCAGATTTTCACAAATCACATCCGTTTGTGATTTCCGGAAGCGTAGATCAGTCGGTGAAAGTATGGGAGTGCCGCTAAGAAGGTGGTCGCCGTTGGGGGAGGAGAAGGAGGCGCGGCGGTAGCTGGAGGAGGAGGAGGAGGAAGGAGAAAGCAAACGGAAGAAGTGGCGGTGAGGAGAGGTGGTGATGATGATGATGATGATTATGAAAAAAGGAGAGGAAGATGTTGAAGAAGAGGGCCGAAAGTGCGTTGAAGAAGAGAGCCGAAGAAGAGGAGGAGGGACAGAGCTGTGCATAGTTTTCCTTTATTTTTTAATTATTATTTTATTTTAAAAATCCATTGTTTTTTTACTCTCTCTCTCTCTTCCTTCGTTTGTTTGTTTTTCTCCGATCTGTGTGTTTATAGGAAAATTTACGAATCGAATGGTTGTTGTGGTGGTGGCAAATACCACATTCGAACGAGAAAAGTGGAAAACCGTTAGTTTTCTACACCCCACGCCCTGGAGGCTTGGACACTATTCGCCTCGCTCTCGATGTTGTTGCCCCCCTTATTTATTTGAAGAAACGATCAAGTTTCTCTTAGACGGTTTTAAAATTAAGAAGAAACGAAAGGCAGCACTCAAATGTGCGTTTTTTCGGGACCTCGTTCCAAACATACATATATATGTATATATGCTGTATATTTCTTTTGTTTCCGATAATCAATTTTTTTTTCTCTCTTTTGTTTTTTTTAACCTACATATATATATATAAATATACGTTAATTAAATGTAATATGCACATATAATATGAAATTAATAATAATAAATGAGTGTGTGTGTACGTGTGTATTGCGAATCGTGTCCAAGTCAGCGCCTACTACTACTACTCCACCTATTTATATAATGTCTACTGTAATCTCTTGGTAATAATGAAAACCAATCAATGCTATTTGAGAAGAATGTATATGAATATGTGGAAGAGGGAGGAATCGATCGATTGATTGTTTAGGAGGGGAGGGATACGTTTATTATTTACTTGTGACTTTGATTTTTGTACACATCGCATTACTCAAATTATAAAATTATATATTTAAGCACACCCTTAATTATTATTATTGCTTTTTTTCTCTGTCTCTCTCTTTCTGTGGATGCTGCAGGACCATCTTTCAAGCGAATTATTATTTATTTACTTAATTTGTGGTCGTCATCGTCACCGCCACCGTTAAAAGTCTTCGAACACCGCCTCCCAAATCACCGCCGCCGTCGCCGCCGCCTCCCCCACCGTCACCTCTATTATACTTATTAGTAATACTACAACTGTTGCCGTTATAGTCGATGAAACAGGATTGGCGGATGGCTGGATACTGTAGCACCGCCCTCCGTCGCATCCACATTTAATAGGGGGTGTGGTTTAATTGCGACCACTTCCCCATTCGCTGATATTTATATATATATATATTATATGAAAAAAAAAAGAAGAAAAGAAGTCTATGATTATAATAGCGTATTATACATATACATTAATGAAAACGTTTAATATTTAAAGAAGAAAAAAACAACAATAATAATAATAATAGTTGAGATATACGAGAAGAAGTAAGTTAATTATTATTAATAATAATAATCGAAGAAGATGAAGAATAAGATAGAGACGATGTCGATAATAATGAAATGTTATATATATATATATGTAACATAGACAAGGTTTCATTGAAAACTCTCTGAATTGCTCTTCAATCTAAGTAACCAAAACGCATATATTTAATGGATCGCTTGTTCAATGTAGTTATAATAATTCTCTCCAGTAAGCGTATTATCTATATAGACCGGATTAGACTCGATTCTTGATCTTGAGCTCAAAGCAAAGACAACTTTGTAGTTTTAGCCCGGAGGAGGTAGACGCAGCGTTATTAAATGCTAAATGGATTAATGATGATGATGATGAGGATAAAGTAAATATGATTGCACCGAATCTCCGAAACGCTTTTCTGCAGGAATCTCCAATACTCGCGACCTGCAACCCCCAACCCTCATCCCACACTATAAAAAGCACAGACACACTACAATCAATCTCGCAGCAGCAGCAGCAGGTACAAATCTCAGTTTCCGTTCAGATTCTTCTCGCCAACGTCAACTCTGTTTTTGTCTTATATAATCTTTCGTTCCGTCTCAATTTGTACTTCAAGATATGCGGTGATATAATTATGAAATAAGTGAAAATTATTCAATCTATATATGTATGTATAATATAAAAGATATGTATGTATGCATGTGTCCGTATTGTAAGGAATGTAAAGAAACGAAACATTTTATTTTTTTAAAAACAAACGCGTGCGCTTCTAAAGTTAAACAAAAAAGTAAAAAGAAGTGTGCATCAACAACAACCGTTGATGCCGACTATCTATATAATATTGTTGTTCGTTACTATTTATGATTTCGGCTCAAATCGATTTCTCGTTTGCACAATGTTATTATTATTATTATAATTAATATTATATAATGAATATTACCCAGCCAGCGATGCAAGCTAATTTATTGCTGCTATAAGAAATCCACCCACCCATCCCGCATACATTATATAAGCTACAATAGATACACACAACCCCTCTCCCAAAAAAACAATATAATTGGAAATCATTCCATGGCCTCCCCCTGTCCGCAATTTAAAACATATAAAATTTCAAAATTAAAAAGAAATAATAAAAGAAACTGTTGATTTTATAAGATTTTCAATCGAATCGGATATACAATTGTTTGTCATGAGTTTCTTGTGAATATAATTTTCTTATGTATATATAAATATTTAAAAAAAACTTATTTAAAAAAAGAAATAAATATATTATGTCTCCCTTGAACGAGAAGTCTTTTACTTATTTGCTGAGTATTTCGTTTCAATCTTGCTGTTTCCTATTTAATCTTAAAGTAAGTTCAAAGTTTACTACAAGTAAAAGTACTTTTAAAACTGCTGCCAACTGATAAAAGTGAAAATAAATTCCATAACCAAATGTTTGTTTTGCGCTGGTGACAGCCACCACCACCACCACGAAACGTCATTAGTGAAAAGGACGTATACGTTTGTCGTTAATCATCATTGTGCAATTTGTGGAAAACTCAAAGCAAACGGAAAAAAGCCAAAAGTAACAATTCGCGGAGAGAATGTCGGTGAATACGGCGCATCTGAACGGAGGAGTCCTGATTCACTCTGGAGAATGGTATTTGAAATATTCGAAATATGGTGTTGAATCTGTAATAATTGCATTGTTTTGGGTAGCATCCTGGTGTTCAGCGATAACACCACCATGGAGTTCTCTGGGCAGGAGGGACCCATTTTCAAGGGGACTAAGATGGGCAGGATATATCTGACCACCCACCGTATGATCTTCAACAGTAAGGATATCAAGGAGCCGATGCAGAGTTTCAGCTTTCCATTTGTTACATTGAGCGATGTGAGTTGTTGACTTGGAAATTAAATTTAAAATAATGCCGATTGTTTGTGGGAACGCAGGTGGAATTGGAGCAGCCCATATTTGGGGCCAACTACATCAAGGGCAAGGTGAGGGCCCAGCAGAATGGAAACTGGGTGGGAGAGGCGAAATTCAAATTGGTTTTCAAGCACGGTGGTGCCATCGAGTTTGGACAGGCAATGCTGCACGCCGCTCGTTTAGGTAATTTATATGCCATTTTCTCTGTTTCTCACTTTTTTTGTAATTTAACGAATTAATCTTGATTGTTATTCAACATCGATTAATCGTGTAGCGACAGGACTCGATGGTATGTACCATCTGCGCTTCTCTTGTTATTTCTTGGTATTTGGGTGTATTGATTTACGAGATTTGTTTGTGTGCAGCCACTAGGATGATGAACGGAAGAGAGGCTCCGCCTCCGTACGTGGCGCCGGAGACGCAATGGTATGCGGCTCCACCCCCGGCTTACGCACCGCCTCCGCAGGGCTACTACGGCTGGGTGCCACCCACGCAGGCTTTCCCCGATCAGCCGCCCTCCAACTCTGTCTTCATGACGGACGCACCACCCCCTTATCCCGGTATCAACATGCCGCAGAGCGGACCCGGAAACTTCCAGCAGCCGCCGCCGTACTCTCAGGGCGGATATCCGCAGATGCAAGGCGGCTACCAGCCGCAGGCCGGTTACCAACCGCAACCAGGATTCCCTCCGCAGGGCGGTTATCAGCCGCAGCAGCAGCAGGTAGGAGGATTCCAGCCGCAGCCAGGTTTCCAACAACCCGGCGGTTACCAGCAACACGGTCAGCAGGCGGCGGGCGCTGCTTTCGTTCCGCAACCGGGATTCGCTCCGCAGGGTGCTTCCGGTTTCCAGGGGAGTGCGGCAGGTAAAAAATAAAATAAATCAATATTATTTATACAACATCACAATGTATACGAATAAAAACTAATGTTGCTAATTGTAAATGTTTTTGTTTTTAGACGCAAAGGCAGCGGAGGCCGCGCAATCCGCCTATTACGATCCGAACAGACCGCAGATGGCCTTCGTGCCGCCCCCGGCCTATTACGTGAGTGCCGACAAGAAATTCCATTAATCCATTAACTAATTAACAGCAGCATCACCACCACATCGGTGTTGGAAGAGGCGGTCTCTCTCGGTAACCACTAATTCCGCAATTCTCTGTTTTGTAGGAGAACCCGCCGAGCTATGATCAGGCCACTCACAAAAAGCAACAATAAATCTCTAATCCGCCCGGCGACGGACAGAAAGCAAAAACGTAATAATTAATTAATCTAAATTATAAGCTAAGACACGCAAAGAGGGAACGTGAATTATTAAACTAAACTAATCTGTTGCGAGCAACCCTTAACAACATCTCTTTGACTTTGCTGCGCCGTGCGCAATTCCACATTGCAATAAACACTGACGTTAGTAAATGTGGAATTTCTAACGGCACAGTGGTCTTTGAAAGCGCAATTAACAAAACGTTTGCGCGCACTTTTGTGTGTGTGTGTACTGCTGCTTCGACACGTCTGGTGTGTCGCTTTTGATGGTTGAATTTTCATTTATTAAAACGCTTTAGACACACAAAAACAAAAATAAGAAGGAAACGATACAGATTTATGTATACTTGTACTTGTTGATTTTATGCATGCACGACGAGACTCATCCTTCTACTTGTTTACACACCGCTTAGCACGATTAATGCATACTTGTTTAACGAAATTTCATTGGAAAAAGTATAGAGTCTCGCCAGGCGACCAAGTTTATGTTATTCACTTGTTTATGTTGTATTTCAAATTAATTGTTAACATTCCCTGAATAGTTTATGTATAAAAACATATATATATATATTCTTTTCGTTTGGCAAAAGTTGTGGAGCAAAGTTTATATAATTCATGAAATGTATGTAATGGAAGATAATGAAATATGTATTATAATATATATATAAATATATGAGACTTACTCACAAGTTTACATCTATCGAAGGTTGAATATAAAAATTAAATGATAATAAAATATTATTATATATATACACACATATATTATACATAATGTAAAGTTGAATAAAGCTATTGTTTAGTATATAGGTTGTATGTATTCAAATAAATCGTGTAGCATGTAGTGTATTCGAATTTCATTTGATATATTTTCATGCAAGCAAACCAAATTGATTATCTAATTAGATTCTAATTAATACATGAAATTATTGTGTAAATCTAAGAGGTCTATGGTTTTCGTTTGACAAAGTTAAGCGTCAAAAAACAAAAACAAAATATAGGGACGCGTCCTTTCTTCGCAAAATTATATCGAAAATAAACACTCACAAATATCCGGCTTTTGCGTGCAGGTATGTTAAGGTGCTCAGGTAAATCGTTTTGGTTCGTCTGCAGGATCTTTGCAACACTTTTAATTAACTTTTCACTGGTGTTTGAGGAACTCTCGAAGCGACTATTTCAAAGCTTCACCAACAAAAAAAAACAAGCGAATACACGTTGACCAACCGAAGAACGCGAAAGTTCCCTAATCGCATATTTGAATGTTCGAATTTGAAATGTAAGAAAAAGAAGTGTACATTAGTTTCACGTTAATTGGTTTAATGATCTTGGTAAGTAAATTGTATACGTATTAACATTGTTTATAATTTATTGTGGTTTCTCTCTCTCTCTTATAATTATATATATGTATGTACATGAAGAATGTGTGCAAAGTCACAAATTTCGATGATCTCTTCAAGATGCTCTGACGCAGTTGGCGCGCGTGCGACGATGCGATTTTGTTCTTGTGCAAAGACGAACAAAAAGTAAACGTTTCCAGGTAAATGTAAATATGTCTCTATATATTTGTATAATATGCAATAATAATAATAAATAGGACCTATATAATAGGCGTTTGTTTTTTTTCTTCTTCTGTTGTTTCACATCATATTAAGGGGGGTGTTTCTGGGTTTTGTTAAGAAATTAAAATAAAAGTAATAATAATAATATAAAGGTAATAATAATAATAAACAATAATAATTCGTATTAAGTAGTTACACAAGATGCACTGCAAGATATAGTTGTCTCTTTCACGAACGTTTAAAAATATATATATCTCTCTCTCTCTCTCATATCCGTATTTACACGAGAAACAATGGAGCAGAACAAAACAAAACAAAAATAAACATATCATTATTATTACTATTACACAGAGTATTGTATCGGCGTTTCCATAGAAACTGTTCCTCTCTTCCGTATCCAAGGAAGGAATCGTCGTCAAAATAAAATTGTACAATAGAGGGATGTGTGGGGGTGTGTTAAGGTTGAAGAAGGAGGGAGGTGAAAAACGAGTGAACCTAAGTAAAAAATATATACAAAATAAATTGCGAAATATATAAAATAAAATAATAATAATAGTACTAGGTAAATATTTGTACAAATAATAAAAAATTAATAAAAATCACAAAAAGGAAAAAATCGAAATGTAGAAAATATTGGATGATGATGATGGTGTGGTGTGTACGGCAGAGGAGTGAGTGGTTTGTTGGTGGTGATGAGTCGTGCAAAAATTTATAAAAAGGAAATCCCTTTCATTCTTCCAATTCGGATGTAGATAAGAATAAGAAGAATTAAGCGGTGTCGAGTAAAAAATATTGTCTTTCCACATGACTAGCAAATAGGCACATCGTGGTTCAATCGTTTACAACGTTATCATCTCTCTCTCTCTCTCTCTCTCACTTTGATTCTTTCGCTCTCTTTCTTTCTTTCTCTCTCTTTGTAGATGCATGCATGCAAAGAAAGAGAGGACAGAATGGAAAACAATAATAGTAATCAATAATAACAACAACAGCAGCAGCAGCAACAACCGACAAGGCACTTGAATCGTAAACGGGGCGTCGTCAAATTGCTCAACTTGATCGAAAAGTAAAAGTTTTGAAAGAAATAAGTGTGTGTGTGTGTGAGGGTGTGTGTGTAGGAAACCACGCCCCGCCACTGCAGACGAATCACGTTGTCTGGATGATGGGCGGGGTTAATACTAGAAAACGAAAACCAATCAAGGCGGCGCGAGTCTACAACAACAATATTGTCGAAGAAAAGAAGACACTCGCGGTCCAAGTGATATGTATACTTAAGTGCAAATGTTTCTTGTTTGTTTGTCTTAAAGAAAACTCATCTGACGATTGGGCGGCGGCGGCGGCGACGGATGTGGGCGTTGTTTTCGGTCGGTCGGTCGGTCTGTGGGGAGGAGAGCGGTGGCATCGCGCACATGCGATTAATGAAGAATCTAAAATATATCCGTGCGAGAGATACGTTTAGTTCTTGATAGTCGCATCACTCGACGGCGAATCCGCACGTCTCCTCTACGGCTTGCGTTAACTTGTCGTTGAGCGTCTGGAAGTTGTCGTAGGGAGGGATGTCGATGCGGTTGAAGCAGGTGTGGGCTTTCGGCAGGTTCTGCGGCGAGACCTCGACGCAATGTATGGTGAAGAGACGCGGCCCGGCGGCGCCGGTGCTTCCCTGCAGCGCCTCGAAGCCCTGCAGCGGTACCCGCGACGACCCCGTCACGAACTGCAGCAGACGAGCCCTCATCTCTTCGGAGTAAGACTCTACCACTTGCCAGAACCATTGCACCACCGGCGTCTCTGACGTGCAGTGCTTCAGTCTGCGAACACACAAAAGTACGTAACGTAAGTACTGCATACAAATATATATATATATATATTGACAATATACCTGGTGTGCGTTTTCCAATCGACAATGTTTATGTTACCGATGCCGCTGATGATGAGCTCCAGTTCTCGCTCATCGAAGGGACGCATCAGATTCGTGGGAATCAGTTCCGTGAAGCCCTTGTGCAGCGAGAGGAACTGCTGTTCGATGCCCCGCATGTATCTGTAGTTGACGTACAGCTTCACGTATTCCCTCTTGTTCTCCTCGGTGACCGCGATCGTCGCACCTTGAGGCTTCAGCTCGTGCACCTTGATGACACCGAAACTGTTGTTCTCCACGGAGAACGTCGTCTCCAGGACGCCATCGATGTTGTTCTGTCTGCAAATGCGAATTGAACGACAATCAATTAATAATATGTTGCGAGCGAATTGTAGTATTAATAATTACAGCATCCAGGTGAGGCTCCGATGAAGGTCGGGATCAACACCTTCGATGTCGACCAGTGTGATGGGCTTGTTCAACAGCTGCTTGTAGAATGGCATGGTGAAACCGCCCTCGAGCTGATGATTGTGGAAGATGGCGATGCCGAGGATTCGGCCGACGAAGTGGAAGTAGCTCAGATGCTCCGGGTTGATCGCCGAATCCGGATTGATCTGCAGCGTGTAATGATCGTCCCTGCTGTACTGGAAGAGGCCGTACTGCGGATTCAGCATCTCGCGTGACAGCAGATGAAGCCATTCCCGGGCAACGCCGCCGTAATCGAGACCCTCCTCCCCACGGAATTTTACCATGAGTCGCTTACGCATATCCTTAGGTCGCATCTTCATGATCAGCCGGTAGCTCTCCTCGAACACCTCGTTCCTGGACACCTCCAACCTGCAGTGACCGCTCTGCGGCTGCAGACTGGTCAACTCCGCCCTCAGCGCTCGCAATTTACCGACGAGATCGCGCCTGTACTTTGGCAGGAGCTCGGAATCGTTGAGTCCGTGCGGAAGATCGTTGTCTATCGGTCTAGGCACCGCCGATGTTGTTGTCGTCGTCGTCGCTGTCGTCGTCGTCGTTGTGGACGTAGCCGAAGCGGTCGACGGCGACGGAGGAGCGACGACAGCCGCTGCATTCGCGCTAGGTCTGGGTGGAAGCGGACGCGCTGGCGGTGGCGCAACTTGTGGCGGAGGTGCAGCCGCGGCCGCTACAGGTGTAGCTGCAGGTACAGGTGTGTTTCCAGTCGATGCATTTTCCGTGCTGACGCTGTTTGTGCTTCCGGCAGGAGGAGTCGTCTGTCGGCGCAGGATACTCGTCAGCAGTTGCGAATTCAATCGAGGATCCGTGAACTGCGTCGTCCGATTATTGTGATCAACAAAGTACATCTAAAAATAACGATCGTAAATATTGTTGATAAAACGTTAACAATATAAAAAGAAAAAAGGAATGTAGAAGAATAAGACATTTTCTCACCCTTCCCGAAGAAGTTTGTCGCATTTCCCAACCGGGTGGTAAAGGACCCAGCTGATCCGTGGACAAGCTCAGAGGTCCGATATCCTTTGGGAGTCGAGGATCGTGCCACGTCGACACTCCGGTGGGTATGTGATAGAAATATACTTGTCCTTGGGCGGTTGTGCGTAGTTCTTTTAGAAAAATAAAACTTAAATAACATTCAATACATGTTAATATGTTTGTTAATTACCATAACCAGAAGGAACGTCCCAGCCGCTGCCGCCGCTTGAATTGCCATTCTCTTGAGCCTGCGACACCGCATTGGAAGAGGTCGCGTTCCTATTTCGTCCCGACCTCCTACGACCAGCACTTCCATCCGTCCGCCTCTCCTCGGCCGATCTTTGCCTGTAGTTGTTCCTCTGCGCTCCGCCCCTCGGCACCTGCGTCGGACTCACTGCTTGGGTGCTGGGTGCGTTGCAGCTGATATTGTTCGGGGCTGGAACTACGGCGGTGCTCGTCGGCGAGATCGGAGGGTAATTGGCGGCCGGTGCGGCGTTGTTCGGCCTCACCACCGACGGAATGATCTCCTTCTGCGGACTGATCACCGGAGACGTGGGCGACGTGCTCGATCCGGGACTCGTGACAACGGCTTCCTCCGTATTGTTGTTCACTATATTGCTATCGATTTGATTGTTCTCTATGCGCGCATTGCTGCGGGCTCGCGTCGTCTTCGACGAGGAAATCGGTTTGAACCATTGCGTAGTTTTGGTGATGTGGTTCACGTAGTACGGACGTCCGTTCGCCGTTCGACGCTCCTCCCAACCGGGCGGTAACTCCTCGTTGTCGGTGGCGGGCGATGCATCACGATCCGTCGGACCTCGCAGTTCGCCCAATGGTCCGACGACAGCGAGAGGCGTTCCACCGCAAGGTCCATCCCTCGACAGCAACGATATTATTATCTGTCCTTTCACCGGTTCACTATCATCTTGTGATGCTTTGCACAGCTCCAAACATTGGTCTAAAACAACGTAAATATTATTCCGATAAACTACATAAATAATTTAACTCTTTACAGCAAGAGTACTGTGAGTACATTTTTATAAATGAGAGTTATAATATGAACAAGTCAAGGTGTTGTTTGAGAAGCACTGAGGTGTAACTGAACTCACATCCTGTATCTTTCAGCCTGTGTATAGTGGAATGTATGATTCTGACGCAGCCAAGGAATCCGCTACCCTGCTTCTTCTGCACCTTGCGGTAGTTCCACACTGTGATGGTGATGGTGTCTGTGCGACCGATGTATAGGTCATAGTGGGAGTTCCATTTAGGATCTAGGGTATTCCTGATGGTCTCGGTGGAATGGCATTGGCCACTGCCATCCACAGAGATCTTGGCAAAGGGATCGGGCAACCTGAACAGGTCCTTCCTGACCAGGTTCCGGGCGCACAGGACTTGAAAACAAAAGGCAAAACATCAGTTACATCATCACCAGGGGCAACCTGGACAACAATCAGTGGAGTTGAATTGAGGCCATATTGTTTGTATGTGTTTGTGTGTGTATATATGTATATGTGCATGCAAGTGCATAAGTGTATACATGTGTGTGTGTGTGGGGGGAAGAAATGGAATGGAAAGTGAACTGGAATGCTTTTGCATGTATGTATGCAGCAGCAGGATGGAGGATGATGATGATGGTAGATAGATGGTTTGATGATGGGTGTTTTTACGTTCTTCGTTTCGGATGGAATTGGGTTGGAATCACACTCACTGGTCAAACGTATCTTCTGGGCGCCGTTTCGCCTATTAGACGGCGTGCCGGACATTCTTTCCGACTTAAATCCTACTGAAAACGACCACCATGTCAACACATCACAATCACATAACAATGTCGCGCACCGACGCCATTTTCACTAACATCAATATGACCAATGCAGCGAACGCTGCCGGAACAACGCATGCGCCACCTGTTGATCGTCGAAGGAAAAAACGGCGCTAAACTCGAAAACACGCATTTCCGCACACAAATACCGCTCGAATAACAGCAGAAAACGAAGAATACAAGAGCCGAAACCGAATCGCACGTGCAAGCGATTGCGGCTAATCGCTCGCTCGATTCAGACAACATTCAAATATTTCAAAATTTCCAATGACCGATTGACAACGCCGCCCGATTCAAAATGCACGATTGCCGGCGTACACAGAATCGTAAAGCGATTCGAATATACAAGATGCAAAGAAAACACGACACGAACTGGAAATCGAATCTGCAATCAGAATATACTCCAGATATACAGATTTGATCTCAAATTGTAAAATGCGATGAATTTCAAATTTGTTTTTTTATGTTGATAAAGTTGGTAACGCGGCGTCCATCAGCAGCTGATCGTTTGTTGTTCGAAGATGAACGCGAAGATTTCGTTTGCGTGCGATTTCTCTGTGCTTTTTAATACGCGAAAATCGGTGTGAAAGTGCGTGATAACTAAATCTGCGGAATGCCGAAATCTTTGCTGATCGAATCCCCGCCGATTTAAGTCTCCGCTGCAGTCGAAGGTAAGGAACCCGTTCGTGTTTTGTTTTAAAAATTCGAATTGGGAATCCATTTTTTGAAACACAGCGGCCAACTAAGTTTTCGATTTTGTTTGCAGCAGATGCCGTGAATAATAATAAGTAGGAGAATGGTGATTTTGGGAGGTGAGTTTGAAAAAAACTTTATATGTAAATGTATGTAGATGAGAGATCAATTCATTTGTTTTGCAACTGCTCGCGCAACTCGGCGATGATCTTCTGGTCGTTCCTCTTATCCTTTACAGCTTCGTGCTGCTGCTCCACGAGCATCTCGCGATAATGCTCCTCCAGCTTGATCACGATCTGATCGATCTCCTTCTGCTTGAGGATGCCGCTATTCGAGATGAGGCTCACCCTCTGCGTCGTCAGCTGAATCTGCGAATATTCGAAATGTGAATATTGGAATGCATCCCGTGCCCTCCTTGCCTCAACCTGATTGTGCTTCTCCTTCAGATCGAACTCCCTGCGCATCCGCACTACCTGCCTTCCGAACTCCTTCTCCGCCTTCTTGTATAATTTGTCCATCTTCAGCACGCACCGTTGCAGAAATCTGATTTTTTCGTTGCTGCTCTCGTCGATGTTCGCCACGTCCATCTGATTTCGAATGATCTGCACCTCCTCCTGCATCCTGCCGCACTGCTCCTGCAACAGATTCTCCAGTCGCACGATTTCCTCATCTCTGAAGGCGATCTCCTTGTCGTGTTCAGCACGCATCTCCTCCATCCGAGACGCGCAGAACTCGCGAATCTTTCCGGCGTTCGCCGAGTCGTTCTGCAGCTGCTGCTTGTACATCTCCTTCAGCTCGCGCTCCCTGTCTTCCCGTTTCTCCGCGCAGAATCTCTTCATCTCCGCGTCAAAATCCACGCGCAGTTGAGAGATTTCCTTCTCGTAGTACGCGTGCATCCTTGATTCCGTCTCCGCTCGGATCTGCTCCACTTTAAGCTCGTACCAGGTCAACAGCTCTTGGTACTTTTCGTTGAACCCTGTGCACTTCTCGTTGATCTCCCTCTTGTACGTGTTCTCTAGATCCTGCAAATCCTGCAGGTGCTTCTCCTTGAGCAGATTCATTTGATTTTCGTGCATCTCCAAGGGTTGCTCCTCGGCCAGTCTCCGGCGCAGATCGCTGATCACGCCTCGCAATTCCAGATTCTTCGCATGTGCCGTCTCCAATTTCTTGTGCAACGAAGCTAACGTGCTTTGCCATTCCCCGGTCACCGTTCTGTGGCTCGCATGCAGAGCGTTCTTCATATCCAATATTTCCTTTGAAACCAACCATCTCGTCACGTTTACACTTTGTATATTAATTATTGATTGTCTTACGTGCAGTTTGCTCTTCAACTCTTCGACTTCCCCGACGAGGCCTCCGATGTCCGGGTTGGATCCGCACTTGACCGCGATTTGATTAAGTGCAGTGTTCTCCATCCGCAGCTCCTCGATCACGTGCAGCAGATTCTTCATCTTCGAGTCGTAGTCGTCCTGTTCGTCGTAACCCAGATTGCTGCGAAAATTGGACGAAGCATCGCCCGATGCCATCCCGTCGTCGGTGATGTCCAACCAACTATCCTCCTTCTCATCGTTTTCTTCTTCTTCATCGTCGTTGTCCTCGTCGTTACCATCGTCTGGCAATGCTTTCTCCATCGCCTTTCGACTCCTCTTCTTCTTCGCCCGGAAGATGCGCGTCTTCGATCTCAGCTTCGTGCTGCTCGTGGTGGGTGGATCGACGAAAGGCCCCAAGTCTCCGATAGGTGGTGCAGCCAGGAACGGTCCAGCCAAGACTCCGTCCTCGATCTGGTGGCCGAGCTGCACCAGGTAATAGTTTCGTACCGCCTTATCGGTGACGCTCTCGTCGCTCAACTTCTCCAGCCACATCTTCACCAGCTCTATGTACCTGTTGTTGGTGATGCACGTGATGTACGGCTTGATCAGCCTCAGGATTTGCAGGTACTCGAGGTCCAGGTGTTCGGAGGGTTTGTTCGCGACGACGGCTTTGTCCATCCTGTAGAAAATTGTATAATACTTGCTGACGCAGTCATAAATTTTGACAGGGTGATTGGGGAGGTGTGGCGTGGTTGCAAAACGAAAAAGTCTAACTTTCAAAGTGATTTATTCAATTTCAAAATAAAATAAAAATCAAAAATAAATTAAACAAAAAAATATAATATTAATCATTAAGTAAAACAAGTCTATCACAAAATGTGTGCCACATCCTTCATTCTTTAAAACACTACAAACAACGTCACGTATAAATATATTTTAGAAAAAGGTACAAAGTATCACATTGTGTGTGTGTGTATATATATTAATTAATATATGTATATATATATATATTTGTGTTTGTTACATGCACATATACACCGAGCAGTGTCTCCTAACCTTTTGCGAGAAGGGTTAAGAAACACCAATGTTATATATATATGTTTGAGAAGCGCGACCACCGCACACTCGATCTCAAGAATATTCTCTCACAAATTAAGTAAATGTTAACGTGTGTGGAAGTGGAGCGCCGCTTCTTTAATACTATGAAAAATTAATTTAAAACAAAAAAAAATCAAAGCAAGTCTAAGTCATAATAATACTCACTAATAAGCGATACGAAGATATAGATGTACACCTTGCACCGCCTACTCCACTTAAAATTAATTAGTCTTAAGATAAAACGAATTGGGTAAAAGCATTATTCCTCCCTCTTCCTTCTTCACTTTTACTCTCTCACTCTCTCTCTCTCGCTCTGTTGCTAATGTAGTAATAATATCTAAAAGAAGACGATTCTACTATCTAGCGCTTACATGCAGTTGCAATCACATTCAATCTTTCTTAAGTTATTAAGTAACAAGGTTCTTCTTCAGTCTATAGAAGCTTCTTCTGTCCTCTGACCCTGCATCCGTTCGTAATCTGCGTCTCGCATTCACCTTTCAGCTGTCTCAGGTGCTGCTTGATGGGCGCTACCAGAGTGCCAATCAATTCGTCGATGGTGTGCGGGTAGAAGTACTGCTCCAAATTGGTTTTCAAATAGCCCTCCAGCGAGGTAATCTCCATCAGCAAACTGAAACGTTGTTTAAAATCAATCGCTGCATTTTAGCAAAGTCTTCGAATCCTACCTAGTCAGCACCGGCAATATGCTTTCGATTTGCATCGGGTTCGTGTAGTTGCTCAGCACTTGCCATTGATTGAACCAGGTCTGCATCCTAAAGGTTTTTTTTACATTAATTATTACTGTTTCATCGTCAGGTATATTACTACTACTACTACTCACTGATCACTGTCTATGATACTTTTGTATTTGGCCTTGGTGTTGGCGAACCATTCGAAGCCGAGGAATATGTGCCATCCAGGGAAGGAGAGTTGAGGCGCCAAGGGGATCGGTCTTATCGGTGTGTCCATGTGGAGGATGCTGTCCACGTCCGTGTATCCCAGCATCTTGCTCACCGAACTTTTCTCAAAAAAATAATATTTAATTATTGTTAATCGATTTATATAGTTGTTGCATATATCACCTGTGCACTTGATGGTTGTATTCACCTGTGAGCCAAGTCTTCATGCACAAGCAGAGGGTGGGTATGGCGCAGGGGAGAAGCTCGCAGAGGGTGGCGTAATGATCGTACCTGGACCATCCGGTGAAGACGATTCCCCTGAAGTTTCCAATTTTGCTGGCGTGCGCTCCCATCTCCAGCAGCCAGCTCTCGTGATTGCTCACATGGTACTTGTTGACGGGCAGTATCTGGCAGCTGCTCGTCGCACCCTTGAACGCGGTCGCGCCCCAAACGTTCGTGAAGATGTTGCTGTACTTCTCCCACAGGCCCGAGCCCAGCTGAAAGGAATCCGCGTTGTTGTAGTGCCACACCATCGGCTCCACCAGATTCCCCACGTAATACTCCTGCAGAATGTTCAGATCTATATTCCTCAGCATGTCGTCCCATATGATGATCCTCAAATTGGGATAGTTGTCTTTGATGTATTGTGCCACTTCGGTTATATGATCAAGGTACAAACTGGCCTTGCCGTATTTGTTGCTTTGTACTCTGCGAATGCACGAGGGGCACATCCCCATGTGCCAAACCTAAAAAGGCAGATTCAAATTTAGAATACATCAATTATCATCCTATGTGTTTTTTGTATCTACCTCATCTGCTCCTATATGTATGTATTGTATGTTGCTGTGGAAGCTGATGATCTGCTTGATTAGTGACCTAATCAGTGGCATTGTACCAGCATTGCTGGGACACATTGAGCTTGGATAGCTTTCCACCTCGCGCAGCCCCTGCCACTGGTCATGCTTAAGAGCAAATTCCATGTGCCCGAACGTCTGCACCAGTGGAATAACTGATAAGCCACAGTCTTCAGCTAAAATTTCAATTGATTAAAAAACATAAATCAATAGATATTGGGCACTCACCGATGCATATAAGTTGTTTGGCCTCCTCGATGCTGTATGGAGCTCCGCAAGCTTGGGCGCTGTTCGATAAACCCCCAGCCTGGATCAGTTCTCTGGTATACGGAAAAGTGTCTTCCCATTCTATCAGAATCCCTGTAGCCCCGATGTCTTTGATGAACGGCAGAAACTAGAGAGAGAAAAAACATCGTCATAATCGCGTCATTTGTTTTTGACTGCTGCGTATTGTTTACCTTTTCGAAGAAGGCTATCTTTGGCGGGGCGCCCTTCAGGTCCAGGTGGACTAGTCTTTCGGCGGAAACAAATACCGTCATCGTTATTATTAGATATATTTCCTTGGTGAATTTGCTGCTGTACTCACCTGTGCGATCCGAGCGTTAGCGAATCCATCCTTCTCCGTTTGTTGATTTTATTGTTGTTTGTGTTGTTTTCAGCACCGCAACATGACCAGGACACTTAGTTACCAAAACAAAAAACATCTGAGTGCGATGGTGGCGCCTTTGACGACTGTCAAAGCGTTCATGAAGTGATCGAGCGATGGCGCTACCATTGCACACAATTCATCCACTATGATTCATCTAACGCTTTGAGAGTATTCATATATTCGAATATAGCGAAATATCATCATCTTGAATGGAAAATATAATTTTCATTTCAAATTGATGAATCAACGTTTACATAATCAATTAATAAGACACAAAAGACTGCTATTGTATAATTAACTCTGATTCTTTTGATTATTCTACATGTTTATTTGATGAATTTAAATTTTGTTTGCATTTGGAAATTTTGTATTTTATTAAGTATTTGTAATGCTGTAGCAGTTTTAGGATCTCGTATGTTCAGGATGCACGAGAATGCGGATGCGCCGGGCAGTGAGTCATCGCTCGCGCTTTTCGTCTCGTTTATCTCTTGCATGTGTATGTTGGTTGGTTGGTTGTTGTTGGGTTATTCGAAGGGGGATGGAGATGAGATGATGGTGATGTCGATGACTGTTGTTCTCTTTTCCTCTTAGGGATGAAGCAGCAGCAGGAGAAGCAGGAGGGTCGGAAAAATCGATTTGCCACATGCGCCGCCTCCCTCGACCGCCGCGCGTGTCGTGGAAATTCTCTCACACGCACACGAATCCCATTTTCCCCGCCGTGCCGAAGCCTCGCGGAAGCACGTGGAAAGCACGCGTTTGTTTATTTTTCTTGCGTTTTTCTTTTGTTTTTTTTTTGTGGGCGGGCGGGCGCGCGCGAACCCCTCGCAATGGAAAACCGCCGGTGACAATAACAATTGCAAGCAACGAAGTGCCTCTCTTCATCCGCCACCTTCTTCATCCATCCATCCATCAACAAACAAGCAAGCGAGCGGCGGTTCGTTCATGTTTTTGTTTATACCTGTGATCGTCGTCCTCGTGCTCCGCTCGTCGTCCACGCCGTCGCCGTCGGGGATGCTTTCGCATCGAGCGTGGCCGCATCGGCTGTCCCCGTCACCGTCCGTCGCCGCCTCCGCCACCCGCGCCTTCACAGCGGCCGTTTCGCGCGCCGCCTCCGACGAGTCGGGCATCGAACCCGGTCCCATCGCCACCATCACCGGCTCCGTCGTCTCGTTCGCGCACTCCACTGATCACCTGGACCATCATTACGACACCGATCACACGGATCTAAACAGCGAACTCGATGAAACGGAGATCAGACGAACACTTTTGCACGACGTAATATATTTATCAAAAGTTTTTGGATTATATTCATTCTTTCTTTCATAAAATAACAATAATATTAATGGAATTCAAATTGTTTCAGCAATGGAGGCAATTCTTCGACAGATTCGACCCGGAGGGTTTCGGCGAGATACCGTGGTGCGACTTCGAGGACGCCATCGCCTCGGAGGAGTTCCGCGAGCGAGTGAATACCGGCAAACGCGAGGTGCTTATGGCGAAGGCGCGATCAGCAACGACGCATGCCATCACCTTCCAGGACTTTGTGAACATCGTGAGTAAATTGTAAACATTACATATAAAGGTAGAAAGCGTGTGCTGCTGCTGCTGCTGCTCTCGATGATTGTTCGTTGCTCATCTTGACCAGTCGTCGGACCGCAGAGCGGCGGTCTAGACGCCGTGTAATTTGTGTAAGCCGGCGAACCACGGTCACAAAACGACAACCAGAAACAGAAGGAAGGCTCGTTAAGAGGGCATTTAGTCGATAATTACGGGGTCGCCTCCATCATCCCTCCACCTCTTCACCGCTCTTTCACTCTGCAAAGATGAAATAACTAGTGTGTGAGAGAGAGAGAAAAGGCGGTGCGGGTGGTCAACCTCAGGAATTCCTAATTAATAATGACCACCTCACCTGGCGAAGAAGAGTGTCGAAATGGTTTGACACACTGTCGCAATGCCGCAAACTTAAATTCTTTGTCTTTTCCTATCGCTGATGATATTATTTTAGTTGTTTTTGACTATATCTTTCTTTCTCTCTCTCTCTGTGTGTGTATGTATTCGAGATTGTTTGAGTGGTGGTGAGAAGGGAGGATGAGGATGAGGCCGTGCGGAGAGCGTTTAGCGCATGGGCCTCTCCCAATAATTGTATTTCGGGCCTTTGGGGCCCCTGATTACAGGCCGGTCGGACCGCGCGACGGGCCTAATCAGGCGGCCCCGAGATGTCTTGCACGGGAATTACTGAAAAACGAAAAAAAAACACACACACGAAGAGGAGTGGAGGAGAAAGAAAGAGAGAACGAGCAGCAGCGGTACAGTAAATGCCGTGTGGCGAACGGCGAAAACGAAAGTATAAAACAACAACAACAAGAACAAGAACAACGTAAAAAGAGAAGCGGATGATAAAACTACACGTAATAATAATAATAATTTAATGATAATAAAGCGAAGCGGTAGACCACCATCACCAGAAGGAGCCCCGATGCTTCTTGCTCTCTCTCTCTCTCTTTCGAATCTCTCCTCTTCATCGTTCATCGACTTTTTGGTTTCTTTCGTTTTTCCCCCAGTTTTCTCTCGTCGGGCCTCGATTTAAAATTAATTCGCTTTAGCCGCGCCACATCGAATTGTCTTTAAATCTCACATTGAACAAAATTACCAACATTCACAAATTTGTCATTCACAAAAAAAAGCTAAAAATTAAGTATATTTAAGTCATAAATTTTAATTAATATTAATTTAAACGATAGCTTAAAAGTTTTCACGTGTCCGATCTTAATTAGTTTGCAAAAAGAAAAAACAAACAAACAAAAAAATAATAATAATCACGTTCTCAATTTATTTCTGCACTCTTGATCTTGATGCAACTCTTTATATGTTTTGGCGTTAGTTAGGTTTGGGGAATTGAACGCGAACCATAAATCATCCGAGTCGACTTCTTCTTCTTCTCGAACTGCCGTGACAGGATTCCTGCGGGATTCTTCGCGATCTTCTCGCATCGGAGATGTTTTTCGTTTATTATTACTTTTATTTATTTTGTTTGTTTGTTTTTTTTCTTCGCGCGCTCCTTTTCTTATTGGTTTCTGCCGCGAGATGAATTCAATTCAGCAAAATGTAATTTAACTTCTGTTTGGTTTATTTCCATTTTCAATCTCGCCATCACCGCGGCATCACCATCTTTAGTAGAGGTGCAAGCGTGAGAGAATGAAGAGAGTGAGAGAGTGAGAGAGAGCAGAAAGTGTATTTGTGTGCAGAATTGGTTGAAGAGGAGGAGAAGAGAAGAGAAGAGAAGAAATGATGCGAAGGCCGTTCGCGGGTGGCACCGAACTAATAACCGTTGCGCGGCTACCTGTCTGCTCCGCTTGTGCCCCGTCGACTGCGACGATTGTGATGATCATCATCATCACCATGATTATGATGATGTTGATGGAGGCGGTGGAAGCGGAGGTGGCTTAACGCGAAATTGCTAATTTCTACACGTTTTATGGAATGGCATGGCAACAATAATAATAATCTAATCCGGAAATTGAAAGGGATGATGGAGGATTAACATTCCAAGGGAGGCGTGATTTCGTAAATATTTGTCGTAGTTTGCAAGCTTGTACAGGTTCGGAACGTCTCTTCTTTGTTTCCGTTACTTCTTTTTTCTTTTGTTGTTGTTGTTGTTGAATCAATATATGTGTATGCGGGGAGATGAAGGAGGAGGAATGCATTGAAACGGGAACGGCCGGACCCAATTAAAAGCGATTTCGCCCTTTCGGCAGACCCACAATTCGAATTGTGTTGTTTGTCGTCGTCCTCCTCATCGTCGACGACGTCGTTGTTGTTGTTGAGTTGAGTTGCTATTGGAATGCCCCCATTGAAATCAAAAGGGCATTGAAAGATCTCGACCACCCTCCTCCTCCTTTCATCCCTCTTTCGCCTTCTCTTTCAACATCACGCACTTTTTTTTTTCTTCTCCTCTCCTATCAGCAAAATATACGTACGTGATGTATATAAATAAATTCTTCCGACAAAGTGGTCTCATTGAGGAGGGCCGACGGGACTGGAAGAAAGGGCCGATGTTGAATGAAAGAAAACTTGGCATGAAAGCGAATGCCATTGTGTGCAGCATGCATATGCCCTAAAATAAATAATGCTTACTCTCTTTCTCTCTCTTTCACTCGCAAAACACCAATAATAATCATAATAATAATCAAGCAAATCCCTTTTCAATTTCTGCTCGCTTAAACACAAACCGATCAATTCGCATCAATTATCAAGTCTTCTGTGACGCAAACAAAAGTCGAGATGTCAGTTTCGATTACGTCTGTCAATAGGATTGAATAATGTCATCGTAATCGTTTGTGTTAGTTGATCAATTAATTGAATTGTAATTGTCATTTCAATCGTTCATTCAAACGAAGAATGTCCTTCACGTTTTAATTGGATTATTTGGAGTATTTTGTTAATTCAATTGCTCTTATTATTAAGTTGACGCCATTTTATTTTTGTTATTTGATTTGATTTTCTCTTTTTTTCTGCTAAAACCGAATCAACGTAAGAGAGAGAAAGAGTGCCTTGGAATTCGAGGAGGCTGAAACTGTTAAACTTAACGACATCTTTATCTGACAATTGGGCAATATACCTATTCCTATTTCGTTCGCCTCCCTCTTGATCTCCGTTCTTCTGTGTCATCCTTTCTCTGCATTCTTTTCGATCCATCCAAGTTTCTTTCATTCTTTTAATGACTCAATTCTACGTAACTCATTAACGGCACGCATCCGAAATATATACAATTACACACGAATACAAACGAAAAAATAAGAGAGAGAAAATTAAAGACTACCACGAAGATTCTTATGCGATTTAAATGATAATCTCATCTGTTGTTAATCTGTAGATAAATATTCGTTCTTCGGTTACCCAAGTCATTAAATCACTTTTTGAATGTAGATGTTTATGAGATTTAAATCATCCAATTTAGAAACTCTCGAGATTGATACTGTTGCTGCTCGTTACTTAATCATTACAATAAATAATACTCTTTTTTTTGTTTAGTATTTCACACTGTGATTGCTACAAATATTCTTCATGTTAGTGTGACCAAAGAGATTTCGCTTAAGTTAACAATGAGAGCAAATAATTTGCGTTGATCTAATCTTTAAGTTTCGATTAGTTATGGTGCGCGCTCAGTTTACCCAACATCTATTTATTGACAATTCAATTTTGCGGCTCCCATGGATTTCCTTTTCGGGTGGATTTTCGTTAATTTCAGGTTTTTTTTTGGGAGGAGGCATCGAATTAGCCCCGGTAATGTGCTTACCGTTTCTCTTCTTCGCTTTGTTGGATCCGTCCGTTGTTGATGTTTCCATGCGAACCCGCTCCTCCTTTCTTTCTTCTCGAGGTTTTTCCTTCGTTTCGGTCGGTGGGGTCCTTTGTGCTTTGTCGCATATAATGATGACGACACACCACCGACCCTCCCCAAATGTCCGATAATCGCATAATCTCACTGCAGAGGACATAAGAGACCACCACCACAATGCAATTAGGATTTTCCGTGCTGCCGGACTTGCATTATTCTGTTTACGCTTTTTTGCATATTCGTATCTTTAGATGACAATTTTCGTTGTTATTACCATTATTGGATTGATCTTCCTGAAGAATAGATGCGTTGGGGTAGAGGAACGAGCGGTGAAGACGGTGGACATGGATGTGATGGGAATAGATGTGTCTCTCCTTTTATTTGTTTGTATCAGATACGCTACGGTGGGCCCCTCTTCCACTATCCCTAATTAGATTAAGCTTGTCACAATTTAAGAAATAATTGACCGGTTTAGGTGGAGAGATAAAGGATCTTCTCTTGCTCTCTCTTTCTCTCTTTCTGTCTCAATCGTCGTTCTCACATTGCTCCACTCTCGTGTTTATGTGTCTCTTCAATCTTTGATTCCTTTTTTTCTGTGTCTTTCTCTCTCTCTCTTTCTGTTATTTTGGTGGGTGATGTGTGTTGGTTTTTATAAAAGCATCGGACGGAATTAAGACGTTTTAGATTAGTTTCGAAGGTGGTCGGCATTCCGTGAGATTCGATTGCTCTCCAGCATCAGCAACAGCAGCAGGTAAGATATTCTCTTCTTGCGTTAAAAGCGCGGCTGCGGCGGCTGTGTCACCTCTTCTACGATGGTTGCAAGGTCGAGGATGGGATGGGATGCAAGACGGATTTGTTTGTGGGCTTGACTTTGTTTAGTTAATTGGTGATAGATTAGAGGAGAGAAGGAGGACGAAAAGAAGGTGCCCATCCACCTTTCTTTCCCTCTTCCTTTTCGGATGCCGACACCGACGCCCGCCATCAATCAAATTCGGATCCTCTCCGTGAGACCAATTCACATACACACACACAGAATCAGAGAGAGAGAAAGAGAGATGTTTGTAGCCGCAAAATGCGACCAATTTCCTTTCCTCTTTCTCATTCGTCGTCGTCATCATCATCATCTTCATCTTTCGGTTTCGCACGTCGCCTCCTCCCTTGTTAGAGGTCCGTCCGCCCGCCCGACCACCTATATCGAAAGGGAAATACCACCTAAT